GGCCACGCTGGACCTGAGGGAGCCGAGCGGTGTCCGCCGGGCGGGCCGCAGCGCCGGCAGCCTCACCGGGCCCGGCACCGGGCAGGGACGGGGGACCCGTAACGGTCTTCTCCTTCAGACACCCTCCCAGTGGCCTGCTCCGGCCTGGCTGCCGCCGCCGCAGGGGTCTGTGCTGGGATCTGTCGATCACCTGCCCGGGCCAAAGCTCCACCACGCATCAGCCACGGCAGCGACGCCGGCTTTAGGCATCCCTGACTTGCCTCTGCCCTTTGCCCTCGGCCGGCAGGAGCAGCACAGCTCTGCGTGGCGGCCCTGCGTGTGCAGCACCCGCAGCCTGGTCCAGGTGAAACATCGCCTGTGGGCATACGGTTATTGTACCTCAACGGGTTCATTTCCGATTTCATGGGGACAGGACACAACACACTTCTGTCTGGGGTCAAAAGGAGTGCACAGGGCTGTTGGGGAAAAGTGATAATTCAAGAAATTCTCACTGACACCCCAAAAAAAGCCGATAAAAATGTAGAACAGCAGCTTCTGAATCCTCCTTCCCGTTACCCGTCTTCCTTTGAGATGGGATCCGGCAGGGGGAAACCAGTGGCAATGATCCTGATACACCAGGAGGGGGTTTTAGCGTGCTTTAAAACAATGTCGTAGAAATGTGAGAAGTCAGTTCTATCTGTCAGCACTGTGTATTTACTCTGCGCGTTTCATTAGCTGCTCAGTGTTCCTTGGCAGCCAGACCTGTTGCCCAAAGGCATGGATGAGTTTGCAGCCAATAACAGATTTTTGCAACCAGAAAAGGCACTCCGCCACGGGGATGCCTCACCTCGCAGGTTCCTGGGGAAGAGCTGTGCCACGGGAGCATCACTGCCTTGGGAGATGACAAAATAAAATCACAAAGAAATGAACTGAGCCTATGTCTGCTGTGACCGACCTTCCGCAGCTGCCAGGGTACACCATTGGGAGGCTGCAGGACCCCAGTGGAGCCCATTCCTGTGTTGCATCCTTTTCCACAACGAGCACGGTGGCAGCAGGAATCACTTCAGTGCCAAGGAGATGCTGTCAGAGCTTTCTGCCGCTCTTGCACTGCCAACAGGCACTGTGATGCCTGTTCCCTAGCTCCTGATGGCACTGGAGGAGAGAAAGACAAACACCATGTCCAAGGCTGCCTGTTGCCAATGTCACCCATTAAGGTCAAGGTGGCTTTGTTTGCCACTCACTCGCTTGCAGCCTTAGCTTGGAGTGCCCAGAGGGCTCCTGGGGGTGGCAGGAAGAGGGTAAAGCTGTGGAGGTATCAAACCAGGTTCAGGGGCTCTGCCTGTGCTTTTTGCTGGGACTCCCTGTGCTGTTGATGGCCTGTGGAGCTGTAGTCACACCAGTCCTGCCTGGAGCTCAAACTCCTGTGTTTCTCCCCGCTGTTATAGACAAGGGGGACAGAACTCCCCTGAGCTGCCCATCTCCTGCCCCAGCCATTCCTGGAAAAAATGCCCACTCACGGGACTGTGCTGGAAAAACCTTATCTGCACCCAGTGCTGAGCAGGGGGTGGAGGAGCGACCTCGTGAGGCACCCACCAATGTGAGTGTCCCTGTGATGCCAAACCTCGGCAGCCCACCTCTGAGTGAGGGGGTGCTGAGCCCCCCAGAGTGCCAGGCACTCCCTGCCCTCACCCGAGCCAGCAAAGAACTGGTGGCTCTGAAGTTGGTGGACACGTCTGGACGTTTGGTAGCATGTGCTCTGGTCCCCGAGGCTGATTCAGAGCTCCTGGAACTAAGGCAAAACAAATACCTACCCTGATACTGTCTGCTTAGCTTAGGTCTTGCTCTGTAGCCGCCGATTCGGGGACACAGTGCAAAACAGAAGGCGTGACCAACATGTCACCCCTACTGTCCTGCTGGACAATTAACTCCGATTTACCAAAATTGGAGATGAAGGGCTGCAAGCTTCTTTTGTCCCCGGTGCCTGCGCAAACATTTAACCCTGGTGTAAATCAGGATTATCTCTCTGACCTCAGCACAATTACTCTGTTTAAAAAAAAAAACAAACCCAAACAAACCTGAGGGGGGAGGGGGGAATTGCTGATGAGTTTACAGCTCTGTACGCATTCAGGCTCATTTTCACCACATGGCAATCTCCCCGCACAGCAGGAGCAGCCGGTGGAGAATTTGCCGGTGCGTGAGAAGGTGTCCCATGGCCTCGTAGCCTGGCATGCTCCCTTTGCTAGCCCAGCGGCGGTGACGCAGGGCAAGAGCCTGCCAGGAGCCGCAGTCCGGCTTACGTGGGCCCGGTGCTGTGGTGATGCCGGGGTCTGATGCAATTTTGTGCCGTCCAAAGGTTGCTCTGCGAGCTGGGATAGGGCAAGGATCAGAGGACGGTGTGCTGATTCTCGGGATTCAATGCGTTTATTCGGTTAGGTGTCTGGCTTTAAAGAGCGCTGTTGTCATGGCCCCTTCAGCCAGTGTGGCGGCTGCCTTGGAGCCAGCGAGTGAGACTTCAGTCTTATTTAGACATTGGGGTTGGTGACCCCGGCGCAGGCAGGCAGGGAGCTCGCAGCGTGCTCCAGCCTCCTGCCAGCAGAGCCGGGGAGCTCTGCAGGGACAGAGCTGCTTCTCCCTGCACCTCAACAGAGCCAGTTGGGCCAGATACACGTCCCCAAGGGGACGCAGCACCCGAGGAGAGGTGCTCCTGGCTCAGGCACAGCGACGTGAGTGCTTTGCCTGTGACCTCGAGCAGTTCCCCTCCTTTCACTCACTTCTTCCACCACCTGGTAAAGCAACTCATCCCCGAAACGACCAACCTTTCCCCGGCCCGCGCTGTTCCGGAGCCATAACGAAACTTTCCCGCTGGATAAAGGGGGAAGATTCGGAGGGAACGCGTGACCTGGAGGCTGGGAACAAGCAGCACGGCAGCGTGTCGCCAGCCCGGCTGGAAATTTGCCCCCGGGGGCCCGCCCCG